TCAGCTTGTCGCTCCCCTTTCTTTTCAAAACTTGAAACTACTTGGTTAAAATCCACCCCACATAACCATGGGTCATCCCACTGCTCGCCTAATCGCCGCATAAGATCCCAAGTTTGTGCTTTTTCACTTGAATCTGACCAACCATAAATACCAGTGAACCTCCAAACTCCCATAGTTGGCTCGGTTATTTTCATGTCCATAAAATGCAAATCACTATCCATTACTTCCGCCTGAACTTCCTCGGTCCACCAAATACTCAAACCGCCTGCCCGACCTCCATTCTCTGTGACCGTCGACCAACATCTACCATCAAAGAACCCTAGTGATTCTCGAAGCTTTTCATTCTCAGGCACAAGTTGCTTCATCTCCATCAGAAAAACAACATGTGGGGAAACTTTACGCAATAGCGTTTTCAGAGCTTTCCTTGCACGCGTGTTTCCCAATCCGCAACAATTATAATACATTATCCTCATTTATGCTTCGAAGGGGATAGGTTCCCCGCACCTTCAGATTGCTTTGTTTGCGTACTTGGACCCTTTTTATTTACTCCCACCTGTCCTCCACCTTGTATCTTACTACTTGCAACATCATTTTTAGCTACTCCTTTCTCTTTTCTCGAATCCGATTTCTGTGCCTGGGAACTTTTATGCCCTGACCCTTCTTGCTCTTTGTGTTGTGTCCTCCCAGAACTCCCTTCATTCCTCTTTGTATTAATGCTCCGATCCTTGTCCAGTCCCATCTTCATCCTTCCCTCCATGTTTTCCTTTGACTTCGGTCCTTCTTCGCTTTTGGATAAGTAAGGTACCGTCTGGGCTACATCTGTTTTTGCTTGCACCTGGTCATCCTCCTTCTGGGTTGTTTCTTTACTGATATCGTGCATTTCCTTATCTATCCCACCATGCATATCCTCATTCACCTGCTCGTCACCCTCTAGGACCGTGAAGCGTGAGCCTAAATGCTCTCCGGCCTTCCCCCCCTTCAGCGGGCTTTGTTTGGTTTGCGCATTGATCCCAGTCGGATCATCTCTAGTCTTATTGGTCTTAAATCGAGGTTTAACCACCATCCACTCGCCATAGATTCTTTGCGCTTCAACCTCTTTTTCCACTGGCTTTGGCATTGCCTCACTTTCTTAAACATGCGTTGCCACAGTCGGACACACAAGCTTGTTGTGCTCATACTTCCCACATCCGTACATATCTAGTGTTAGCCCTCAAACTCAATGTAATAGGTGATACCTTCGATTTTGTATTGGGATAAGAGTGGCTTTGTTAGGTCAACTTCAACACTAACTCGAGCAAAACGTCCTCTGTCTCCCGTTTGTGTTGCCCTATCAACTCGAACCTGTTTTCCGATCCTGGACGCAATGCGCTCCATCGTTTCCCTATTAATGAATTCCCTTGGTAGATCCGGCAGCCGAACCCAAACCATCGTCGGCGCCACTTCTGCCATTTTCGGATTAAAGTTCCGGCGCCAAGGTCTAACTGTTATGTAAAAATCTCCGATCATCCATGGTCCGCCCACCGCAGCTTGTTCATAGTCGATCTGGTTAGTGAATCGAACCATGTAGAATCCATACGTCATGCTTGACACTTGAATATTTCCAGTTTTGGCCCACAGAATTTCCAACCTCTTTGCCAACACAAGAAACGAAAAAGATCGACCTAAAACTTTCACAATCAAGGCCGAACGCCACTCAATCCTCCATCGCTGCTTCTCAAGCGCAGTAAAAGGTATCGTAGGGCACCTCGGATCATCATCTTCCGGTATTTCGTCATCCAAATCATCTTCTCTCATTGCTGCCGCAATATCTTCATAATCGGATTTTGCAACGTACTATTCATCTTGAGCATGCAAGTCATTGAACAATTTACGTGCACCCCTAGGTTTCCACGCCGAACTCGGCTGCTGTTTCGTTGGCGATCCTTCTTCCCCCGAGGTTGGGGAAGGAGTGTCTTCAGTCATAGTTTCTGCCTCAAATAGCGGATTGTCCTCCATCGGTTTTGCTCACTTTTTTGCCGGTTGTGTTTTTTTGCCCCCCTTTGCATTTGGCAAGGACGTAACCAATGATGGTCTCCGGATACCGACACTGATATCAGGGTGGCCGGCGCTCAGGGGAGCTGCCCTCAGCGCAAGCGCAGACATGTAAATCGGCGTCCCAGGCTTCGTACGAGAATTGGGGAATCGCACAAACAAAGAAAGTCTTTGAGCAGGTTAAAAATATTTTTGGTCCGGTTTGGATTCAATTATGTCTGTTGTTTCCTTTAAGTTTTAACATAATCCATAAATAAAGTTGCAACACAAATGCTAGGTACTCCTTGGAACACAAACGATTGTCTTCCAGCTCATTCTTCTGCACTCCTGACAACTCTTCTCCTGCAACTGGTTCCTTGAAACCATCACTTACAACAGGCCGGTACTCCTTGGATCTCAGCAGGTTCTCCATCAGCAGCCTCCAATGGTCAGTCTCATCAAACTTTGGAAGACAGACCTGCGCAAAGCTGCTGCTCTCACTCTTGTTTTCACTCTCGCAAGCCCTGAAACAATACCTCTATCGTGTCTCTCGTGTCTCTCGTGTTTTCCTGTCCCAGAATCAATGTCAATTTCACTCAAATCACTCTCAAATTCAATCGATCGTGGTTATAGTTTACTTTGTGCTATGATACCACAATGTAGTCTCAAACGTATTGGTAAACTGACAAATCTTATTCAATGCATCAAATCAACAATAAGTACTGAGCTTCAGCCTACAAACCAGGCTTCCACTAACAAACCCTTAACCCCACGACCCTTTAATTAAGCTAACTAACTTGATAGCTAAGCTACTGACTTGTTGCCTTTGACCTCAATCCAAGCAGGGACTTAATTGACCCAATTTACAGACTCAAGGACTCAACTGCAATAAACCAAAACGACACAGTCTCAAACTTAGACCAAGACTTTAAATATTCGAACCTCTTCTGTTCTTCCCGCCTTCTGCTGCTGCTCTTGCTGTGATGATCAAAGCTCGATGCATCCAACAACATTACCATCCAAACCCATCAAAGGAAATCTATATATACTACACAACACAGTACGTACGTACAAACCTCCTTTCAAACAACGTACATATATATACACCGTCTATTTTGGAGACCTAACAAAAAGATGAACGAATCATGCATGACATGATCTCGTGAGTGAGTGAGATCTTGGGTTGGGTGGGTGCCCTATCAAGTTAATTGGACGTAAATTTATATCGGAAATGCGAAAGAGAAGTGCGACAATGGCTGTCCTACTCACTTCCTACATATGAAAAGGGAAGACGAGGACGAGGACGACTACGCCTATGATATTGATTGGTGTATATACTTTCACTTGTGCATGGAAGAAGGAAGGTAAAAAAAAAAAAAAACACATGGAGAGGGCTGACACAACTCGTGATGGTGGCGTGACTCCATTGATGCATCCCTCCACCCAACACCTGACACAACACACATGCCATTCCTTCATTCATTCTTTCCATGTGCCACCAATGCATATATATATATATACATGCTTGAAAACAATGGATGTCGATCATTATTATGGCCCATATGATGTTTACTACGAATTGTGTTTTTATGGAGGGCTCATCAAATATCCCTATTATACCTACTTAGCCAGACACGTTTCCAGTTGAGGTGCCTTGCCACTGTCGTGCGAAACTGGACAGAAATGGGACGAGCAAATTGATCTGCAGCACAACCATAGAGACGAAACGTTTTAGCAACTTATAGTGAAAATCATCGATGGCGACGATTTTGTGCAGTCCGTACTTAGAGGTAAAATCATTTTCTCTCTACCCACTAAATTTTTAAGACTCTGACATTTTAATTGAACAACTTTAGTATTTAACGAGCATTGACATAACATACCAGAGGTTGTATCGGTAAAGTCAAAAGTAAGGTATTTTATACTAAAATCGTGGTTTGACCATAGTTAACCTTTTCATACCGCTAAATACCACATATCAATCTAGCCTCAGGTAAAAAAGTTTTTATGTTCGAACCACCGGTACGGTATGGTTTTTCTACCGTTGGTATTTACTAAATTTGAAGTGTTTAGGAACTGATTGGTTGGGTGACGGAAATTGGTGTTTTGAATGTTGGTGGAAGTACGGATAGAACTTGTGTAAACTCTTTATGATTCACAAATTACCATTAGGCTGCTTTTGTGTGGGCCGGGTTAGTTAGAAGTAGAAGATATGCCTAAAATGTTTTGGCTGTTGAGTGGATTATTTCACTTTGTTTTGTAGTTTGAAACTACTTAATTAGGTTAGTTCTAGCATAAATAACTGATAGGCTAGCAATTTTTTTTTATCTATAAATCTAGCGAGCTAGGAGTGTCCATCGAGTTGTAAAGTAAACAATTAAACGACATTTGAGTTGAAAATCTATGAGTGTCGATCGAGTGGTAAAACAATCAATTTTTTTAGTTGAATATATTGAATTCAAATCTTGATTGCGTTTAACCGATGGTCCACCTTTGCCCTACCTAACTGGTTATAAAAAGAAAGATCCTACTAGCTATTCGTATCCACATTGGGAAACAGTCTAATCACAAGAACGAATACTGTGCTGACCCTATAGTCTAAAAACTACAGAAAAAAAAAAAAAACAACAACAACAAAGGTTACAACTCCGTGAATAATGAATACCACTATGGTTGCACACTTGCACTACTACAAATCATGGTGTTTAATCCTTATGTTAGCCGTTAGCAAGCTAAGCGATGCCCTCTCATCAAATCATCAACCGTTTATTTCTGTTGAATTGGTGGGCGTTCAAGGCCCAGGCATGTTCAAACTGAATTAACATAAGCAGGCCCTCAAAAACCAGGCCCGATAACGCATTAAGGAAGTAAATCCGAGAGGACTGAATGGGCCTGTTCCCCTGGAATTCAAAAAATAAGCCCAAAAAAAGGAGGTCCAACCCGAGGACCCGTTTCCGCACTCTTCCCCCTATCCGGATTCTGGAGTTCCCCGCATCGAACGAAGAATTTTCATTTCCCTTTTCTCACCGGCTGCTTCTGGTTCGGTGGAAAAAGACATGGCAGCTCAATCTCTAACCACCAATCTTCAATCCGTCCACCAATCCAATCTCCATAAACCCAAGCTCCAATCTCAGTCTCTTAAACCCTACATCCTACGGAACCCTTCATGGCTTGGCAACTTTCAACCAATCGCCGAGCTCTCTCTGCAATCCTCAAGCTCCAGAACCCGCCGCGGCTCTTCTCTCCAACCCATTTCGGCCACCGTTTCCAGTCTCCCAACTGCGTAACTTCTCCGCATCCTCTCGTCATCTTTGTCTCTTTCTATTGTCTTCATTTCAGCTGGCTAACTCCGGATTTCAGGATTTTGCAGGAAGCCAGAGAACTTTGCATCGGGCGATAAAGCTCCCAAGTGAGTGATTGCTTTTTCTAGCGGGGTTTCCGTTTCTATGTTCAAATTTTGTTTCTTTCAGTTGGTTTTGATGAGGGTCTCTTATAGGTGGTCATGGAGGGCGATAAAGGCATTTGCTTTGGCTGCATTGGAGGCAAGGAAGCTGAAATGCCCCAAAACTGGGACTGAGGCTCTTTTAATGGGTATCATGATTGAAGGTACCTCATTCAAACACAGGTCTTGGTTTAATTTGACTGCCAACGGCCCGAATAGGATAGAAACTTATGTTCTTTGTTGTCAGCTGTAAGAGAATGTTTCATCCTAATTCACTTTGATGATTGTCTTGATGCATAACTCATTGCAATGTGATGCTTAACTACGGAGTATAGTGTGCTGAATCTGGCAGGAGCTGTTGCTTGCTGTGAAAATGCTCATCTTTTATTGTTTGGAGTATAGGAACTGGTGTTGCTGCGAAGTATTTGTGGGAAAATGGTATTACGCTCTTCAAAGTGCGTGATGAGATCACCAGGGTACGCGGGAAGCCCGACTTTTATTACTTTCCTCCTGAGCAACCTCCAGTGACTGAAGATGCTCAAAGGGCACTTGACTGGGCCGTGGATAATAAAATAAAATCTGGTATGTTATGTTGATTTTGATTTTGTTCTCTATTGTTGTCTTGGTTTTCTCTTTGTAGGCTGTCATGCGAGTATAACTTGCTTCTGTAAGAAGTCAAAAGAGTGTTATGAATGGCGATCTTGACATGGCAGAAAACTGCTTTTCTAAAATATCTTTAGATTTGCAGAAGATTGCCTCCCAGAATGATGGTTGGTTCCTAGCATTCCTTACTAGTACATGGATGAGTCTTGTATATGATGCTCAGCAGATATCGCTTGTGCAACATGACTTTGTTAGTTACCAATTGCTGATTCTAAGAAGGCAATAGATGCGAAATGTCATTTTCAGTCTATGGTGTTGCTTTCCACTATCAGTCAACCATAAGTTTTAAGTTCCATTCGCCTCTTTCTATGACATGTAATTTAGGATTTTATGTTGACAATACTTTTTTCTTATAAAAGACAGCAGTTAGTGTAGGGAAGCCAGAGCAGGAACTTGTCCTTTGGATGAGCTTTTCGTTGGTATTATCTTGGAATGATTTAAGAGATGAGGCTATTGCATTTAGAAAAAGATTTTGCAATGCCCTTTGCGTTTGAGGATACTGTTCCATTTGAATTCTGCTTATATAGTGTATTCCTTTTGAGCTGTGCTTGTTATAAATGATTGTTCTCCGTTAAGAATTTCCAGGGAAACCGTATCAGCACTTTCATTTTAAGAATTTAGTCTGCTATGAGGATATTTCCAGTTATCCGGTGAGTGAGCAGAAGTAACATGCTAACTGTGTAATGGGCTTCGAATTTACAGGCGTCAGTGGGGAAATAACTACGAGTGATGTGCTACTCGGCATTTGGTCAGAAACTGATTCCCCGGGCCACAAGATCTTGGCTACACTGGGTTTCAATGACGAGAAAGCGAAAGAGCTGGATTCTAAAAGCGCTGGACCTGGATTTTTAGAGGGTTGACAGCAAAATCTATCATCCTGTCATTGTTGTACTCTTCATAATCAGGAATGGAACAGCTCATGTATCATTAATTCTTTCTCATGATTGAATTCATAAACATCATTCAATTCTTGCTCATCAAGAAGATATAAGTTAAAGCATGATCTCAATTTTCCTTTCATTATCGCATGAATGTTGTAAGATCCTAATAAATACTGGATTTCACTTTCATGACAGCATTTCTAGTGATTGAAAGAGTCTAAACTAATCTTAACTCTCTCATACTTGAACTGTCTGATCTCTCATCTGGCGATCATCTCCTTCCCCAGTATCACTCGGCTGGCAGGCGAGCTTTTGTGCCTTAACAGCTTCAGTTTCCCATTCAAGCCTACCAATGAAGGTCAGCAACAGCATCAAGCAGGCAGTCAACCCAGCCAAGAATCCTAGCAACAACCCACTTAGTCCAAACCCCGCTTTAAACGCCAAAAGCACTCCAAGAGGCAGAGCCACAAGATAAAACCCACCAACATTTGCATACAACGCCAACCAAGGCCTAGCCGTTCCTCTCACAATGCCCCCACAAGCAGCCAAAGGGAAATTCACAATCTCTAGAACAGCCATAAACAACATGGTCTTCTTCACACCTCTTATGATCTCTACATCACTACTGAACAAAGCACCCCACTTCCCTCGAGCCGCCACCATCAATGAGCTCCCAACCAGCCCAAGAACCACGCCTAAACCCATCGACACGAATGCCGATCTCGAAGCAACTGTGGGCCGCTCTGCTCCAAGCTCATTTGAGACCCGACATGAAGCACAAGTTGCTACAGATAGCATCACTGAGAAGAGCAAGTAATCAAAGTTCATGACGATGACCAACACGCCTACTGCCTGTTTCGCATTTGGCAGGTGGCCTGTAAGCAGCACAAGAATCTCCCAGCACCACCATTCAAGGCAGGTGCTGAGGCAGCATGGTCCGCTTAGCTTCAGCAGCCTGAGCCAGTCGTCGAGATCCTGATCAAGCCAACCCCCCTCCTTCCACTTTACTCCCTTTCTGTTCTCACTCACCCACACGTATAACCCGAGCAAGGTCACAACTAGAAGATCAGTTATCCAAGTTGCCATGGAGACTCCTTTCATTCCCATGGTCCTGGAGAGCACGATGTTGATTGGAATGTGGAACGCGAGGGCTAAACCCGAGGTGAGCATGATGGGGATAGTGACGCATTGTGAGCTCAAGTAGGCCTTGAGAGGACAGAGGAAAGAGATGATCAACAAGTCAGGGAGAAGATAGAACAGATAATGTTTGGCAACTACCGAGATGTCTTCCTGTTGCCCAAAATGGATGAGGATCTTGTCGACGTTAAGCCACAAGAAAGCTATGGGGATTGTGGTTACCAACAACAAGAGGATTGCCATGATTAGTGTCTTCTGAAGAAGCTTGAAATTCCTGGCACCATTGGCCTGGCCACAGATAGGCTCCATGGCACCACAGAGACCGTTTAGGACTGAGAAGCCCGTGACGTTGCCAAATGTTAGGCCGAGTGCCCCGCCTGCTAGCTGAAGCTCTCCAAGCCTGCCTAGGAATGCTGTTGTGATGGCTGTTTTGGCAAACCAAGTCAGGTTCATGGCTAGTAAAGGGAGAACTATTGGCCTTTGTGTCTTCAGCTCCCAAATAACGCTGCCCACAAGGTCTGCTGGCCATATTGAGCTGGGAATTGGAGTTGCAGAAGAAGGTGGAGAGGTTCTGGGAACTGGGTTCTCTTCAGAATTTGTTGCAGAAGACATTATGGATCAGAAGGTGGATACTTTGGGTGTATAGCTCCAAATATATTATCTTTTCTTTATGAATGTATTAGTTAGTGGAGGGATTAATCGTGGTTCAGAAATGGTAAAAAGATTAGAAATGTGGGCATTGGTTTCGTGAAGCAGCTGGTTTGGTGCATAAGGAGGGAATTGTGGCTTTTGGACAAGCAGCCAATTGATGGAAGGAAGAGCTGGTGATAAGTGTGGGACTTGTAGTGGGGGATGACATGGAAACCGCCAAAATGTTGAGAACCCATATCATGCTTTTGCAGATTTCTTTGCCTTTTTTTGGAAAAGTTTTCAGATTTCTTTCCTTAAGATGAATCTTGGACCATAATTACACGGGTATTTTCATATGAAAGCAAAATGTCGTTGGGAAATGAGTGAAAAACTTAACGATAAATTTGTTAATTTTCAATTCAGAGGTCCGAGGACAAAATACTTTTGACATGAATATATGGTTGTTTCACTTTCGGTTATAAATGGATCCTGGCTTCATGTGAAGGGAGTTTCAGTAATCAGTACATTTACACATTGTAGAATTATTCCCTCCATTCTTTTTTCTGGTAGTGATTTTCACTTGCGGTTCATGTCTTTTGAACCCTTGCTACAGCGTGTTCTGTTGTTTTTTTTTTGTTGAACAGTTTGGTTCTTGTTTAATTTTATCCAAGGTTGTCGACCCGCGGGTTGACCCTCTTTGACCCTGACCCGGTGAGAAAAACGGGCCGCACGCACCCACCGGGTCGACCCTTACAAGGTACCGGGTTAGAGGTCAAATTGTGTCATTTTTTTCTTTGTTTTGCGAAATGCGCCTATTTTCCGATTTTTCTTTTCGCCTAACTTAATCTTTGGAATCCTAAGTTGAACATTTGAATATTAATGTTATATAAGTGTTTGTGGATTTTCACTATATGTTGAATCTAAGTACGACATGTTATTTTGGTGTAATATTATATGTTATAACTTATATGTTAGATGATATTTTATATAATTTATCAAGATAAGTACAATATAGTGACGCTTTCCATATTTCCGGGCTAAACCCACTAACCCTTAACCCACTAGCTCAACCGGGTCCGGGTCAACCCGCGGGTTATTGATTTTATCTCATCACCATTATAAAAAAATAGTACAACCCAATGAAGACCTCATTTTAATGATGATATTATTATATGTATGTAAGCTCAAATTCTTATGAAATAAAGTATATAAAATCAGTTCATAACATCAGCAATAACAACAACAGAAAAATGTTACCATATTACAGCACAACTGAAGAGCCCATTCGAAGAGATGAAGCATATAAAAAGACACAGCACAAAAAGCCAATTAGCAGAACCCATATGAAAATCCATTATATTAATTACTTTATTATTATATTTATATTATGTAAAGCTAACTAACTTAATGAACAGTAAAACAGATTCAACTTTATATACCACAAAATCATACTAATAATGTTATAAACGCGCTGCTACGGATCGGGAAATCGCCGGAATCGATAAAGCAAGAATACGAAAGCGAGAATCGAAAAAACACAGACAAACGATTTATGTGGTTCACTAACACGATATGTGTTAGCTAGTCCACGGGCGAGAGAGAGCCAGTTTCACTATACCGAGGAGATTACAGATTATAGAGGAGTATGTGAAGTATTTATAGTACTTCTCTATGTGGGTCTAAACCTAATTCAATCTGGCAAAGGAAACGGTTACAGACCCCCGACTGCGACTACCAGTCGTAGTGGCTGATAGTCCGATTTAAGTCACATCAACAAATAATAATAATAATAATAATAATAATAATAATTTGAGCCTAATCCGATGGTCATGTACAATAGTTGTGTATAGCAAGATGTCATTTAGTTGATTGATATATAGTAATAGTGGGCTGCTGCCCACACAACACACATGCAAATTCGCTGCTATTTTTTATTTGTAGTTGTAGGAAATGAAGTGCTTCCTCAAAGGACATCCTTGTTTGTTTCATAGGTGAAAATGAATTTATCTACCCATAATATAATAACAAGTAAAAAGCAAGATCCTCATTTCTAAAATGAATTGTTATATGCCGTCCGTAAAATTGCTATTTGTCGCTCGTAAAATTTGAGTTAAATGACATTTTTGCCCCTTGTTCTTTGAAAACTTTGCCACCAAATACCAAACTGCTGACGGAAATCCCTCTCTCTGCCGGCTTAGGATAGGGTCAGTAACTAAATCTGGACTTTTAGATCTAAGTGAGTCCAGAAAATTCAGATGTAAGAAGTTGTCAATTAAAGGCATTTTATTTTCCCTAGTTTTCTTAATCGGCTCTTATCTTCTTCGTTCTAACTCGGATTTCAAATTTTTTTTTTGCACAGATGGAACGAGTCCGTTGTGCTCTAACAAATAATATCAATTTTCAATATATTTCGAGAAACTTTTTTTTTTACCAACTACATACCATATGGTAACTTCTTCATTTTTAAGTCGTGTTTGAAAACGTTTGCTCAGAAGGAACGAGTTCATCACGATCTATTTGATCTATAAATTTCTTGGTGAAAAAAATACTGGATAAAAAATTATCATACTTTACCACTATGGTATGTGGGTGGTAACTTGTGGTAACTTATAGTAAACAATGATGAAAGTGATAAATGACAGTTAGTATACTCCTACTATCATGTATTCAACCTTCTTACCATATTGGTATGTTCATACTATCATGGTACGCTTTCTTACCATATTGTATTAAATAGGAGCATACCATATGGTAATGACTAATAAAAAATTATTCAATTTTTTTGTACTAAAAATATATCAAAGTGGATATCATTTTAAAGAGCATATTTAATCTGATTTATCTATGCAAAAAAAAAATTAAATTTCGACTTAAAACGAGAGAGAAATCGTCCGTTAAAGACTGAAGAGGAAAAGATAAAAGACTTTTCAGGAGAGAGAGAGGATACTGATGTCATGCTGATGTAGACAGGTTACTCATGGTTACTGACCATAGAGTTACTGACCTGATTCGTTCCCCTCCCTGCCGGAATATTGCCGCCGACCACAATCCCAACAATTCCAACCTTCCGCCACCAAATACCCATCAACCGCCAACAAAATCCTCCTCCTGCCCCTACCTTCGTCTACCATTCATCCGATTCAATAGAAGCGTCGACCACAAATCCAACCCAAACCTCAGAATCCCTCCGGCGATGACGAACAACACTCCTAATTCCTCTCGATCGGAGCTCTCTCGTGTCTTACCGGTATCGTTTTCCCAACATCATTGATTGTATTCCTGACATAGTCGTTCCCATCGTCCGACCGAGAGAGGGGGTCCGATGTCGGCTTTAGGACGGCGTCCGCGCGCCTGCATCAGACGGCGTCCGCATCCGGCGGCATCGGCGCTCCCGCATCGATCGGCGTCCGCGGGCCCGCATCGGACGACGCCCTCCTGGTGTCGGACTGGGTAGGAGGGTTGCGACAGTGACTATGCTTTTCTTCGGTTTGATTGTTCAAAGAGTACCCCCGCAATGAACTTTTTTTGCAACGATAGAGTAATTTGGGGCGGAAATAAAGCACTTTGTTATTTGAAATAATTATAAAATAAAAATACTAATAATTCGGTAACTGAAGGAGTTAATATTTTCCCGGTAATTAAGGAGTTAATATTGATTTAGGATGTTTAAAGTTAATAAATAATAAAAAAGATTAATAATTGGGAAAATTAAACAGGATGGCAGATCTAACTCTAAAGTCTAACCCCATAATTATAGGAATGTTTCCGTTAAATTGATTATACTACAATTTTATATAAATTATGCCTTTTTTTGCGGTGATTCATCCTGCCTGGTTTGTACTTTGTAGTTAAGAGTTTCTGTTTGAATTATATGGCCATTTTAGCAGTTGAATTACGCCAGAGATTGGAAAGAAAAAAACTGTGTAAATAATTTTGATTATTAATTAGTTATTTGGTAATTAAATATTATAGTAAATGGTTATAAAATATGTGTTTAATTATCTAGTTAGATTAATGGTTAAATAATTATATTGTGTTAATATATATAATTACCGTAAATAGTGATAAAATTGATAAATTGGTTAGAGTAGTTATAAAAATTTATTTTGAAAAATATGCTCAATTTAGGTTTGAGTCGGATAAGGATTTAAATATAATAAGGTTTGGTTTTGACAAATTATGGTTTGACTTTCACAAATTTGGTTTTGCTACCAATGCCCTCCGGCACTCCAGGAAAATTTCTGATTCGGCGGACTGTGGTAGGTGTATCGGGCAGGCTGAAACTATTCTGCACATCCTCCGGGACTGCCCCCGGCTGCGTACTTCTGGAGTAGGCAAGTGCCAAGTGAAAGACAACATACTTTCTTCTCGGCGAACACGGCGGACTGGTTGCGGATGAACATTGCAGCGGGGGAGGCTGAGCATGTGGGGATCCAATGGCCTTCTTTCTTCAGCATAGCTGTTTGGCTGTTGTGGAAGAATAGGAACGACATGTGTTTTAAAGGTATTTCTTCAAGTCTCACTCCTCCATCCTTGACTCACTCGATTGTAGCTAAAGCCAAGTTGTGCAGCGAGGCTTGGCGAGCGGCTTTTCTGTTGCCGAATGGAAAGAGAGCTGCGGCGGTCCGAGTGACGGCCAACATTTCGTGGAAGCCGCCCCCTGAGGGTGGGTGAAGCTTAACATTGATGGGGCTTCTAATGGGAACCCTGGTCCTGCTGGGGCAGGAGGCGTTTTGAGGGATGAGCTTGGAAGGTGGATTGGCGGTTTTGTTGCCATGATAGGAGAAGCTTCTGCAGCCTTGGCAGAGCTTTGGGCTTTCTATCATGGTTTGGATATAGTTTGGAAATCTGGCTACCGCCAGATCGTGGTTGAATCTGACTCGCAATTGGACATTCAGCTTATTGAGGATAGACATGACCCTGTTCACCCTTATGCCACCTTACTTGCTGCCATTCGCAGGAGGCTTAGCCGAGACTGGCTGGTGCGCGTAGGTCATGTATACCGGGAAGGGAATAGAGTCGCGGACTGGCTCTCGAAGCACAGCCTCGTCTATCCC